GAGAGAGAGAGAGAGAGAGAGAGAGAGAGAGAGAGAGAGAGAGAGAGAGAGAGAGAGAGAGCATCCTTTCTTCTCCCAAGTCTCTCCTTCCAAGTATGCTTTGCCCAGTGTTACCATGGCAATGCATAGTTTCCCACAAGCTGACCACACTCGCACACGTGAACATACAGCAAGGGTGTATGCAAATTGCGCACATACACTGTAGCACCTGAACAGCCACGTGCACAGATTTAAACAGATATCACACGTAACCTAAAAGGCTCCACAGCTTGCTGATAATAAACACACTCCAGCTTTGAGAGGAAGAGAGATTGGACCACTTACATCATCACATAATGTGTAACATTTACCCTACATTTCTTTGAAAATGTAGTGATTGTTTTTTAATAAAAAATGATGCATAAATGCAAAGATTTTTTTTTCTACGATTGATCACTCAAACAAAACGACAATCTGCATGTAAATTGGTCATTTAAACAACGATCATATCAAAACCATACTTTACATGATTTATGTAAAAAAAGAAAAAAAAACATGTCACCCAGTGCTGCTGTCGCTATAGTCATGACACAGTCCATGTCGTCATGTACAAATGTTGACACTGAGATGTTTACTGAAACCAGAGGAAAAACACGGTTCTAAATGTACACAGTTTGCAATGGATTGAGCAGAATGCCTAAAATAAGAACATCCAAATTTGATTCCATCTAACTCATCTCCCACCCTCCCACACAGAGCAACCCTTTCACCTGCTAGCTGGTTAATTATCACCAGCAGCTATTTCGAGGGCTGACGAAAAGAGAATCTCAGTGAATGGATAGATCACAGAACAGTCAGTATCGAGTGTTGGTTCTTCAAATCTTTTAATCTAAAGACTTGAGTCTCTATACCAGCATTTTTTTTATTTGCCATTTCAGAAACCACGCATGAAAGTATATGAAATGAGGGGTAAACTAAATAAATAATCAAATCATATATTAAAAAGAAAAGTGAAAAGCAACCACAGAGAGAAAATACGACTATATTGCAGCAAATATTTGACTGAAAATAAAACTGAACATCCGAAAATCTCTTCCCCTCTCCAGCCCCCAGATAAGGAAGGAGGTCTGCCGAAGCAGGTAGGCAACAAGACAGAGTGCGGCCTGCTGGGATTGGTCATGGACCTGAAGCGGGATTATCAGCCAATAAGAAACCAGATCCCAGAGGAAAAGCTTTACAAAGTCTACACCTTCAACTCGGTCAGGAAGTCCATGAGCACAGTCATCAAATTGTCTGATGGGAGCTTCCGCATGTACAGCAAGGGAGCCTCTGAGATCGTGCTCAAAAAGTGAGTCTGGTTTTGTGATTAAAATGAGATGATTCTGATGGTAGTAGCAGTAATATGATATAATCAAGAGCTTTTTTATTTTGAGTGCATAATGTACTTGAGGGTATAACCTATTGTACATTCCCCGCCTAGGCAGTGAGAGAGAGCTGAATTTCCACGAGAAGGTCACACAATTGTGTCATTTTACAGAACATTACAATAACAGTACAGTAAGAAATGAGTGACTGAGAAAAACATGAGACGCAGTTAAAATGCTTCCTGCACCCAGAAAAGGAGCAGAAATGATCTTTTGACGTTGAAAATGAAACGTGACATTGTAATAAATATCTGTTACACTGTGGATTAAACTCATTTAACATAAATAATGTACAGATAAAGCTACGAATGTTGGGTCATTTTGACAATATCAAAGTTACAGTACACAATTTAAGATACCCCATTCCCACCACTCCACTCTTAATTACAGATGCAGCCATATCCTGAACGAGGTGGGTGAGTCGAGGGTTTTCCGTCCACGGGACAAGGACGAGATGGTCAAGAAGGTGATCGAGCCCATGGCATGCGAAGGCCTTAGGACCATCTGTGTAGCGTACCGTAACTTCTCCGGTGATCCCGAGCCCTCCTGGGACGACGAGTCCAGCATCCTCAATGACCTCACAGCCATCTGTGTTGTTGGGATAGAGGACCCTGTCCGGCCAGAGGTAGGAGAGTGAAATATTTTGGCAACATACTGAGAGGAGTGGATGTTGGGTAATTGGGCTTTACTGTATGCTACAGTATAAGCAGCTGAGTCACTAGTCTGTCCTCCTCACCATGACTTAAAGGTTGTGCATGTGTTTAAGAAATATCTTATTTATTTTTAACATTGCTTCAGACTGGGAGAACAGTACATGTGTTTTTAATGTAGTAGTATGATGGAAGTATTAATGGAAGAAAGTGTTGTACACCTCTGAGGATAAGCCTCTTAATGAACTCTGTACATGATGTTGGAAGAATGAATCAGTATTTGAGGACTTTTTTTGCCAAACTGAAGACAGTTTGGATAAAAAAGTATGCTACCCATAGGAACAGAGTATTTTATATTTACTGTGTACTTATCTGTTGTTTTTAATATGGGATTCTGGACCAGCCTCTAAAAACCTCTTTCATGCAATTTTCCTTGAATGTTCCTGGATTTCAAATCCTGTGATTGTTAATAAGCCTCTTAAGTAGTTGGCAAAGTAAACCCATTCGTAGAAAGCCCACGCCACACATATACAGTTCAGGATTTTAGTTACATCAGACCAGAAGGTCTTTGTTCTAGTGTGTCAGAAGTGATGATTGAGAGGGATTACTTTTTACGAGTCTATACATTGTTTTTTCAGGAAATTCCTGCAGCTTTAAAAAGGTGGGTGCATTTTAGTCATTTTACTAATAAGAGGGATGGCATCCCCCCTCATCCCCCTTCTCCAAATCTCTAACTGGCTGAACATTTATTATTGCATTCTTAGTCTCAAGTAGTGGAGGATAATATCACATCTAAACAATTGGAGCTGTGGGGACAAATATTGAAGAAGCAGCAACACTCTTGTGATAGTAGCAGCCTGCACAGTGAGCTCATAGAGAGGGATCATGTGTCATTTGAAAGACTTGACATTAGGGTGTGTGTGTTTGTCAATTGCTTCACTGATTGATTGCTTCACTAAATGAATAATTGATTCGTGAAATGCACACTCCAGACTGGACTGATCAGCTTGATTTTAGACGGAATGTTTGCAGCTCAGTTTCCATACTTTGCTAATATTTTTACATGTGTGTTTTACAATGTTACGAATTGTGAATATACACTGTATTATATAGATAATATGTTAATATATTGATTCCTTACATCGGTTCCTCAAATGTTCAATTTCTGGTCGGGACACGGCTTTAGTTTCATACTTTAACTTAAATTTATTTTATAAGGGGACTTCATTTTACTATTGTTTACTTGTATATTGCAGGGGAAAATTTTATATTCAAGATGAAATAAGATCACTAAATATTCCTGTAAAAATCACCAAAAATGTACATTATGTAAAAATCACCTAATTTGGAGACACGTTACAAGGTTTTGCACCCAACAGTGACACTGTATGCATTCCTGGAGATTAAACTCCCAAACTGCAATGAAATAGAACACACAGTAGCTCCACTCGGGCTACTGTGTAGTTAAAAAGTAGTATAAGGCATCATTAACTCTCTTTGAAATGAACTTAATCACAATAATACTTAAATTTCTTACTTCTAATACTTGTAATACTGATTCTCTTACTTATTCATTTTTATTAAAACAATGTGCTGCAATTTGACTGCAGGGCTTTTACTTGTAATTCAGTCGTTTTCACTTTGTCTCATTGCTAATTTTTACTTTGAGTTCTTCTTTCAGCTCTGTTGAAGGTAAAAAAAAAAAAAGAAGCAATTCATATAAATAAGTGGTGCATCAAGAAATGATTTCATGATGAATTAAATTTAAAGAAAATAAGAAATATAATTGGGACAAAGACAGTCTGGTGGAAAGAGGTATCTATGTGTACAGCAGGAAACTGACCTCACTTGACAGCTCCTGTGCAGGTACAGGGAAGCAGGAAGCTAACTGACTACTGCATTATTCAACTTCCTCCTTTCATCTTTTTTTCCATCCCCCTCCTCCCTCTCTAATATGGGCTCTCATTCACCCTCTCCCTAACCATGTTTTCTCGTTTCCACCTCTCTCCGTATCCTAGTGTTTGACTTTCACCTTTCTCTGGTTGCTCTCTTTTTCTTTTCACTTTCTCTGCGCACACCTTTCTTTCTCGCTACGCCTTTCTCTCTCTTTCTGTGTGAAGCCGAGTTATGTAAGCATCTAAACGGACCGAGATAAAATAAGTAGGTACAGAGAGTATCAGGACAAAAGAGAAACCATCATCCTCAAATTTAATTAGTTAACTAGACAAGCTAACAAGAAACCCTTTTTGTATCACGGTGTTATTTAAGGTTGTATATTTGAACAAACTATAGAGTCGTCCTGAAAAGAATAACAGTTAAATATGAAAACTTAAAAAAAACAAGAAATATGAAGGACAAAAAGCTGAATATTGTGTAGTGGACATGCAATTATGCTGATTTTTGCAACATGTGATCCAATAATTCCCAATTTAGGTGTGAATATAACCCCTTGCATTACCCAAAACCTGACAATTTGCATAATTTCTCCTTTCTCCCACCATAAAGGTCACTTCACATATTTTCAATAACTGATGTGGAAAAGTGGCGCACTGCTGCAATCCACTAACATCTTTCCAAGTCTCTTAGTAAGCCTGGCTAATATAGGAAATTAGATGACTTTCCTCTCTGCTAAAAAGGTCACACAGAGTGGTAAACATGTTTTTGGTTTATTTATTAGTCTCCAGTTTCTTCCCTCAGAATCTTTTAATAACTGTAGCTGCTCTGTGGGGTTGCCTCCAGAGAGAGGAGAGAAAAAGGAGAAGAAAGAGAAGAGGAAAGACAGAGGCAGAGAATGATAAACATACTCTAAATCAAGTTCATGTCAGAGGAATGTCGGGCTGCAGGAGAAGGAGGACGGGTAAGGGGAGAAACCGAGGAAAACGAGTGTAACCAGATCCGTATTAGAGACACGAGAGGCTTGTTTTTCAGTCTCACCTACTAGCCTCCTACCCTCGACCTTCGTCGGGCCAGATTGTATTTTTAATAAGTCTCCGCTCTTCTGCTCTCCTCCTCTCTCCACCTCCTCTTTCGGATGACCAGTCAACCAGAGCAGTGGGAATCCAAAGGAAAAAAAAGAGTAAAACAGGCACGTGGGATGACGGATAGGCAGGCGGGAACTTGATATCTTGATAACAATGACTTGGTGAGAGCAGAAAAACCAGGATGTAATATCTTACTCCTCTTGCAACAACATTAACTTTAAGAGCCTTCTTAATTTGTCAGATTGTAATATATATAACAGACTTCTAATGAATTAATGTAACTTGTGTTTTTTGTTTACTACTTTAAATTGCTGGGGAAATTATAGCCACAATTCATGATCTTTATTTATTAATTTATTTTGTGAAAGTGATGAGGTGTAAAGCTAATTTGGCTTCATTGTTGTTGTTTTTTCAACACTTAGTCCTTTTCCAAAATGAAAATTAAAGCATATCTGGTTGTTTTTTCTAAATTATAATACTTCTGAGCTTTTTAAAGCAGTGCACTCCTAATCTTTAAAGTATGAGTATGTCACTTTTGAAAGAAGAAATAACACATTATTTATTTTACAAATGAGTTGAATTCAGCAGCCATAAAACACATCTTTGCTCACTTCAATACACTCAGAGATTTTGCAGCTACGGCCCTGTTTAGTCTGGTATGACCAGTAACTTATGGTGGCTAATATTATCAAACTTTAGATAAATATTGCCGTGTAAAGGACATTAATGAGTCAGCTGACTGACTCATAATTCCTCCACTTCTGCTACTGTTATTGTAGATTTAAGTATTTCACATGTGGTGGCTGTCCGGCAAAAGTTGCATAGTTTTGCTTTAAAGCTTTCTATAATGAGGCATACATTATAATTGTAAGCTGCCCTCCTCCCCTGTATAGATTTACTTCATAATCCGCTCCCCTTAAATGAGCTAAATCCTTTGTGTTATACACGCATGAGCAGCTTGATATGGCAGTTCGGCAGTTCCGATATATTTATACATTTCGGTGGTGGATCCATCATATTTTGCACTTTGCATATTTGAGTACAAGCATGCTCACATGTGTTTGTGCAATATGCACAAGTGTCTGTTAGTGTGAAGTGGAAAGTATGCATATTCCTTCCTCCGTGTGTGTGGCAGTGAACATGTGTCAGAGAGAAAAAGAGACGCAGGCCTATGTGTATGTGCAAAAGAAGGAGTTACTGCATGTGCACGTTTGTTTGTTTGTGTGTGGGTTTGGAGTGCAGTGCTCGCCCACACTGACCTTTGTCAGGAAGGTTTCTGAATTAATATTCAGCTTTTGCTAGCTTTCTACCACGGATCAATCTACATGCAGTAACTTCTCCCAGTAATTCTACTAGTATAATGTCTCTAGGGAAGAGAGAGATAAATATGCAACGTCTCATTATATATCTTGTTAGTACAAAAAGGGACAGAGGCAGCATACTGTTCAGATAAAATAAAGGTTTGATTGAGTTGGATTCGTTTTGTGTGTGTGTGTGTCTTGTATTGATTGATTCTACTGGTATATGTTCGTTAAAGGGGCTATAATCAATATTTTATAGTAGCAATAGATTACATGACTTCTTGTTCGTCAAAGGAGTTGATTAAAGTGCCGAAAAACAATTGCCTTTGCGGTTTTCTTCAGTCTCACAGCTCTCGTACTGTAGTGTTTTTTATGGCTGCAGCAGGCAGCTGTTTTCAGCAATGAAGCCCTAAAAACTTACTATGTGTTACCTACACAGCACCAAATGGACTGTCAAAGTCAGTGACTAACCTGGTGAACATAGAGGAGCGTTTAGCAGCAAAAAGCAAGACATTTGTCACAGGAGTTAGTGGAGACCCAAAAAAAGAGCCCAAAGGAGAGTGAATATCTGACTTGTATTCATCAGGTGGCCAGAAACGTGACTGCAAATCAATGCTAATAAATGTGTTCTTGAATCACTCATTAGGTGCCCGATGCTATCAAGAGGTGCCAGCGTGCTGGCATCACAGTGCGCATGGTGACAGGAGACAACATAAACACAGCCAGGGCCATAGCCATCAAGTGTGGTATCATCCACCCCGGAGAGGACTTCCTCTGTATCGATGGCAAAGAGTTCAACAGGAGGATCCGCAATGAGAAAGGAGAGGTACAGTAACTCTGTCAGAGTGAGAGAGGCTGAGCTCAGAAGACACAAAGATACCTCTCTAAACCTAAATCATAACCACCTGTCCTTTCATTTCTGTCGGTGTGTGCATGCCCAGGTGGAGCAGGAGCGTATCGACAAGGTTTGGCCTAAACTCCGAGTTCTGGCCAGATCTTCCCCAACCGACAAGCACACACTCGTCAAAGGTGAACTGGTTGCACTGTTGTCATATGCATTACTGCTGATGGAAATTAAACTCACCTTGCCTTAACATTGGTCGTCTGCTTTACTGTTTATATAATTTGTCAGAGTTTCGCAAAGGCCACAAATAACTGAAGTTATTTGGTCAAGATTGTTGTCTTTCAGATGCTCAATGTGTTGAGTGTATTTGCACTGTGTGTTTGACAGGCATTATTGACAGCACTACAACAGACCAGAGGCAGGTGGTGGCTGTGACAGGAGATGGGACCAATGACGGACCTGCACTAAAGAAAGCTGATGTCGGATTCGCCATGGTGAGCAAACCCTATTTTATTTTAATTAATTTGTATCTTTTTCTGCCTTGCTTGCTTACTCAACATCTGCATATATCTTCTTCACCTCTGCAGTATGTAGGGTTTCTGTGTAGATTAGGAGCTCCCCCTAGTGGATGTCTGAGATCACAGTTTCTCTGCAGTATACTGTATATTACTTTTCAAAAATACAATATTTGGTATTCATTTTTTCTGCTCTCCTCACAAATTAAATAATTTGGCTCATCCACAGCACCATTTTCCTCCCTGGTCCAATATCTTAAAGTCCCCAACCTAATTTCACGCTCCTGTAATCAATAACACGGACTCTAAATGAGTCTGCATCGTCATGAGGGATGTCCCGGTATTGGGCTAATCAAGGCATTCTTAACTGATCGATAATGGCAATATATTCTTTGTTGTTGATCCTTTGTTTTACATCAAATATGACACAGGTGTTGTTATTTGCAAAGCAAAAAGATTACATGGAGGCTTCCTTGTTTTATACTTTTTGTTTTAGAGGAAAAAAAATCAAGTAATAGCTTGGATGCAAGTGTTTTTTCTTCTTAATGCAATGCAGAGCTATTCAGTTGTAAAACTTATACATAACTTTAATGTACTTGAAGGGTGCACTGTGCAGCTGTGTTATCTATGAAGTTAGAAGTAGGCCTATCAGATAGGGACTCGGTATTGGCATATACTCAATATCAAAAGACTGAGATCAAGATTGGGAGCAAAAAAGAACTTAATTGGGACATCCCTAATGATCTTTATCCATCATTATAACTGACTCCTGTCCAGAGTCCAGTTTTTTTCCCAGTGGCTGCAGAGGTGATTTAGACGGATTAAGTTTAGGAATAGTGCAATGTGATGCAATAGATTCTACTTCTTTTCTGACTGCACCTTTTCTGCTCTCCTCCAGGGTATTGCTGGTACAGATGTGGCCAAGGAGGCGTCAGATATCATCCTGACTGATGATAACTTCAGCAGCATCGTTAAAGCAGTAATGTGGGGCCGGAACGTCTATGACAGCATCTCCAAATTTCTCCAGTTCCAGCTGACTGTCAACGTTGTGGCCGTCATAGTGGCTTTCACTGGCGCCTGCATCACACAGGTCAGAGGCGTGTGTGTGTGTAAATATGGGCATGTGATTGGGTTGTATTAGCATAACTGTATTCTGTTCTGTAATTCAAAAGCTGTTGAGTGAAATACTTCAAGCAAAACAAAGGAGATAATTAATTACAGACGTGTGAAAAAAGTGAATTGGTTACTGTAGAAGTATGGTTATTAGTTTCTTTTCACCCCTCCTTGTTCTGACATTTGTTGTTTTTTTCTGATTTCCCTTACATGTGTGCAGGATTCTCCTCTTAAGGCCGTGCAGATGTTGTGGGTGAACCTGATCATGGATACATTTGCATCTCTGGCCCTGGCCACAGAGCCTCCCACAGAGGCTCTGCTTAAGAGGAAGCCATACGGTCGTAACAAGCCTCTAATCTCCAGCACCATGACGAAGAACATCCTGGGACACGGAGTCTATCAGCTCGTCATCATTTTCACACTGCTCTTTGTTGGTACGGACCATAATTTTGCTCTGCAGTACACCAGGGGATCTGCACCTGATGTGTCAGGAAATGGGTTCAGAGTTAATGACATCACTCTAATTGTGTATTACCCCCCCACACCGTAGGAGAGAGGATCTTTGACATTGACAGCGGCCGTAATGCTCCTCTCCACTCCCCTCCATCTGAGCACTACACCATCATCTTCAACACCTTCGTCATGATGCAGCTCTTCAACGAGATAAATGCCCGCAAAATCCACGGAGAGAGGAACGTCTTCGATGGTATCTTCAGGAACCCCATCTTCTGCACTATTGTTTTTGGCACCTTTGCTGTGCAGGTAAGCAGGTTATTTTTGGTTGGTTATTATCATACGTTAGATGTGATATATTTTCATGACTTGTGCTTTGCTTTTTGTAGATTGTGATTGTGCAGTTTGGAGGGAAGCCATTCAGCTGTCAACCTCTGAACATAGAAAAGTGGATGTGGTGTGTTTTCCTCGGACTGGGAGAGCTTGTCTGGGGACAGGTAACATGCAAACTCATCAGGCGCTGTCTTCCTGATTTCCACTGTGCTTGTTTTCTTGCTTTATTTCTAGTTTGCCATGTTTTACTCTTCCTCTTTGTATCTCTACTGTACTGGGTGCTTGTCACCTTTCCTTTTGACCTGGTGCTCTGTCTCCTCTATGGGTTAGGTGATAGCCAGCGTACCCAATAGCAAGTTGCGTTTCCTGCGGAGGGCTGGCCAGTTAACTCAGAAAGATGAGTCACCAGAGGAGGACCCAAATGAAGATAATGAGGAGATTGACCATGCAGAGAGGGAGCTGAGGAGAGGACAGATCCTCTGGTTTAGAGGACTCAACCGCATTCAGACTCAGGTGAGGACACAAGTTCAATCCCCAAGTTGCGATTTGTTGTTTGATTTCACAGAGAGATTTTGCTTCTTCCTGAAAGAAAGAGAAAGTTTGATTGAACAGGGTTACTCTTATCACTTGTATCTTCACTTAATGATAAAATGTTTTTGTGTACTCAGTTAAGCAGCAATAAATAGCAACCAGATCAAATTTCACCAGGCTGTTTTCTGAGATGGCTTTTTGTTTCACTTTTTGTCTGTTTTTGTCATATAATCCATTTTTATTTGGACGTAGCACGACCTCCTCAGATAAAAGCTGAGAAGCCTAAGAAGAAGTGCTAGACTATGTTGTATGTTCTTTGTGTTAGTCTGTAACAGCCTTAAAGTAATTGTATCTCAAGATGGTATGTAGGTACATGAAGATGCAGCTTTCGCTTTCTGGACTGAACTATCACGTGTGTGGACCTGTGGAAGTTCGACATTCAATCCTCACGGGTTGAATACAGCTGGGCAAGAGTCACTGAATTGTTCTCACTGTGACCAACTCTGCACACCGTTATCACTGTGATATTCAAGAAAGTGTTGCTTCTGTGTTAGAGTTGATTTCATTTCACTGATGTGTCACTAATGGTCCAGGGTGAAGCTATCCCGAGACATGATACTGTCATCCTACAGAGGCAGCCGAACATGGTTAAGTTAAAGAAAAAATACGGGTGAAAGGGTTTATATGGGTTCTTTATTAAAGGAGAACTAAGGTTTATTTAACTAAAAAAAGCAGATGACATCAATAAAGATGGGTCTAACGAGGCAGTGGTCAGATGATCAAAAAGGTTTTATACAAACCCCTCAGATTCTTAAGATGTATTTGGAAGAGAAAAAGAAAACTAACTATAAAATTACAACAGTAATAGTAACAGTCTTTGTTTTACACATTCAACACAAGTTACAGACCAACTTCCTGGTTCAGCTTTGACCTACTATACTTGCTGTAGTTCTGCACACTTAAAGGTTCCCTTTGTAATGGCGGATTATTTGCAACAATATGCAGAATAAGGTAAATAAACAAATCTGGCAACCTGTCAATACGTCTGACCATTAGTTGCTCTGTTGTTGATGTTGCCACCCTTCAGAATTTCTGTCATTATTTAGTGAGAACAATTTGATCATAATCAATAGAACCAATCGCCGAAGCTGCAAAAATAAGACTGTACAAAAGCTGCACTAAACCAGATTTTTTCACTAATTCATGAAGTAAAATCAGTGGAGAGGCCACCGACAAAATAATTTGAATAATGTAAATGACTGCATCTGTATTCTTTGCATCTTTGAAAGGGTCGGATCACACAAAGTAGCAAACTCATTCTCTGCCTTACTTCCTATAGCATCTAGGAAAAGAAAAGGGCGTCTAAATACAAAGGAGGTGAAGGGAATTTAGTTCTGTGGTGCTGACGGCATTGAAACATTACACTTGAAATATTCACCAGCAACACCTCTTCCCAGAAATAATGGCACCATTACTCTGGATAATCCACCAAGTATACTGTCAGTAGTCTTCATTGGATTACTTCCTCAGTAAAAGTAGTCCCAGTTAAAACCTTTCTCAGTGAGATCTGTGGATCATTTATAGAGCAGTGTGGGACATTGTTTCTGGAAAGACAAGTCGCTGTTCATTGTTTTTCATGCTGTGCGCACCGTAGTTAAAAACTCATTTACCTCCATTGTTTTTGGTTGGGGGCAGAAATCTTGCGGCGAGGTAAGAGAGATGTTTTTTTGAAATTCGGGTGAACTTACCCTTTGAGTCAAATTGAAAAATGTTTGTGAGGGGATACTACACCCTGACCTTTAGTTGTGCCCCCCCACCCCCATCGTGTCATGATTGAGACACTTTGTTCTCCCTTTACCATCCAAAGTCACCCAGCAAGTCAACCTGTGTTGCCATTTGGTCTCTGTCACTCTGAGCAGCCATTTGTCCTCTCCTGTTCCGCTCTCCTCCCACAGATTGATGTAGTCAACACCTTCAAGAGTGGCACCTCCTTTCAGGGGGCGGGGGCTCTGAGACGCCAATCATCCACCACCAGCCAGACCCAGGATGTAACCAATGTTTCTAGTCCTAGTCACGTGTCCTTGTCCAATGCCCTTTCCTCTCCTACAAGCACTACTGCTGCTACTGCTCCTCCCACTACTGGCCGTGAGTCAGAACTCTGTCAGTCTGCTTCTCTGCATTCTTTGCTTCAGAGGTGCCATCATGTCATGAAGTTATTTTTCTCTGCACATTGTCTGGCTTGTAATTCTTACAACAAATTACCTTGACACTCCCCATTTTGGGGTTGGCATCTCTGAAGAATTTTTTTTCTTTCTTGCTATCTGCTTTTTTCATTTCCTGTCTTTCTCTTTTGTCTTTTTGCTGTTCATACTGGATTTCAAATTCATCTTGATATCTCCTCCCATGCTTGGGTGTACTGTCGTCTCATTGGTGAATGTGTGTTTGTTTCCTCAGAGTGCTAGGAGCGCAGGACTAAGGGTGATACCCACGGCGTGACATTTCAGGTTGTGAGTTTGTCTCCCTCTGCTCATCCCCCATCCACCATCCCATTCTCCAATCCGTCCATTTTTATTTCCCGATGGACATTAATGTGAACTAATTCCAATCAACTCACCAAAGGACTGGGTAAACATTCAAGTATAAGCTGCAGTGTTGTCTTATTTCATCTGTGAGTTTGCTACTGATGAGGCAAATCACACATTGAGCGGATGCACATTTTTACCTGCTATTCTCCAGCTGACGCATAAAGGAAAACATAAAGGACACTACTAGTTCGTGTGCCAGACCGAATAAAAAAAACCTGCAATAGCCACTTTCAAAATGTTCTTTCAAAAGGGGATCCCAAAACTAAAATCGAACCACAAGAGGTCACTGTCAAAATCACGGACTATCTCTACTTAATTATTTTGTCCACTTCCATCTTCTCTTTCTTCCTCTCATTTTTACACACACACACACACACACACACACACACACACCTTGTCTCTAATATTTATCTACGGATGAGAATCAGATCTAAAACTCTGCTGAGGGTTGTGTGGACAGGAGTGGAGAATCACCATAAAGCAGCTCTGCACCGATGATTCATCCCGTCTTGTCGCTTCATACTGTCAGTGTAGTTGACTGTCATGTTGCCATAGTTACGGACATAGATCCTCTGCAGCCACCAGCGATGTAAATTCAACCCCCCCCCCCCCCCCCCACCCACCCGTTTCTAACACCCCATCAGTGTTACTTGTCAGACATCCTATTACATGCACTCATCCCGACAGGCTCCTCTTATTATTTGTTTTATCTGTTTTGTCTCCTTATACGCTACTCTGCCACGGTTACAAGAGTAGAAGTACGACAGTATTTACAGAATATACTGTCCTCCCAGCTAATAGAAAGCTCAATGTCAATGAGGCTTTCAATGCACTGTTCATGTCTTTTAAATCATCTTCCCATGGAAAAGTTGTACATTGTAACATTATCGTACCAATATATTTTCTTCCAAGAATTCTTTAAATATTCAGAGCTAAAATTATTGATGAGAAAACTATTTTGACATTCGGCAAATCGTTGAATTCATTTATCAACAAAAAACACAAAACATTGACTTTCTAAAGTCTCAGAGCTTTTTAAGATTTACTTTTTTATCCCCTCTTCTTTTATATCAAGATAAAGTGAGTGCTTTGGGGTTTCTAATATGTATATAAATAATATATATACTGTATATTCCTGCATTTGCGGCCAATGAATGACAATTGGAGAATGAGAGAATCAGCATTTTTCACTCACATTTTAATATATCTGAGAGGATAGATTTCAGTAGCTTTGGGATAAAATGTTCCTATAATAAACACTATATTTATGGCTTCGGCTCAAAAAAAAGGTTTAGGGTGAGACAATATTTACACTTAATAATCCTACAGAAGTCATTTCAGGTGTCAATAGGAATATCATTGATGCAAACATGATGACATGATACCCCTTTTGTAACTTTTGTATACACCCCAATGTGCTATCATGAGTCAATGTCTCGTGTAAAAACAAATAATGTCGTAGCTGATATTGTACATGCAGATAGGGTTTTGATTTAAACAACGCTTTCCTAAAATCCATACAGTAAATACCACTATCTGTACTATCTGTACTGAGGTTCACGTAGTTGCTTGGGGCCTATACTTGAGTGCTTACTTAGATGTGCATGGAGTTGAAAGCTGTCAGACCTCTGACAGTAAACTTATTATTTTCATTATTCACTTCCATTTGTTTTGTGTCAGCAGTCTGTGTGCCGGTGTCCACTTCTTCACGTCTTGTCTTTTGGCATGTGATTTGTGTTTACCTCTTATTTACTTCCTGGGTTTATAATATCTTAACCTGCTGTGTTGGCTCTAAATGCCTCTGATTTTTTTTTGGGGGGGGGGGTTTGTCGGTTTGTTGTGTTTTACACTGCAATGCTTGTGTTGACCCTCCTCATGCAGAGTTTGACTCTCTCCATTGCTCTGTTTTGGACCATGCTTCACACCCACCCTGTGCTATATGTGTGTGTCCCATTCAGAGTCTGTGTGGATATTGTCCCAGACAGTGTTCTGGTAACTCCAGAAGTTTTTAAACCACCTGATTTGGATCTCTCAGATCTAACCTCCTTCCTTCTTACTGACCTCGTCCACCAGATTTCTTCAAACCTGCATGTGATATTCACCTTTCATTTTTTTCTGTGAGCATTCCATTTATTAACGTGGCTTGTTTCTAGGTATACAGCACATTGGACTAAAGCGTATACTTACAACGAGCGTTTGTGTTGCTTTGGTATTTTTTTTTCTTGAAATGTATGATTTTGTTTTGTTTTTACGATTGTGTTCCTCACGGCTTTACTTAGTGCACGCCAAAATCGAGTGACTTGTGAACCGTAGTCATGTTGTGAAAGCAGAACACAGACTGCAGTTGTTTTTCCTCCTTTACCTTCTCCTTCACCTCTTTATCCTCAATTGAGAGGTTCTCTCCTTCCCCTCTGTCCCTTCTCTCCTCCTCTTTTCTCTCATCCCGAGGGTCCTTCCCACCCTTCCGTTTTGTCTCTGACATCACCTCTCATTGTTTTTCTTCTCTTTCCTCCCTTTTTTTTTTAACAACAGATCCGCGTTGTGAATGCATTCCGTAGTTCTCTCTATGAAGGCCTGGAAAAGCCAGACTCCAGATCATCTATCCACAACTTCATGACACACCCCGAGTTTAGGATAGAAGACTCCACGCCCAACATCCCGCTCATCGACGACACGGACGATGATTCTGCTCGGAGGATGAAGTACTCCAGCCAGCCCTCATCCCCCAACAAGAATAACAACGCCATCGACAGTGGCATCAATCTCACCATCGACACCAGTAAATCAGCCGCCTCCTCCGGCCCCGCCAGCCCTCTTCACAGCTTGGAGACCAGCCTCTAACCCTGATCCTAACCTCAGCTCTAACCTCTAATGTCGTTTCCTTGCAGTCTGGGGGCACCTTATCTAATTCCTCCAGATATTTAACTGCAACCTTACACCTCGTCACCCCCACAATTTCACCTACTCCATCTCAATTCTCATTTTCCAACCCCCCCCCCCCCGTACCCCCATTTATTCCCCCACACAGGACAGGTCCTGTGACAAAATCCTCATCTTTCCTCCCTTAACCTTGAGCTCTTAAAGCTCTCTCCGCTCCTCTCGAAATGGAGAAAATCTAAAGTAATATGTCAAGGTGAAAAGAAAAACAAACTTATCATACAATCAAAAAAGCGCAACAAAGCCACAAAACCTACACAGCCATCGTGCTTTTGTGGTTGTGTGTGTACGGTGACGGCGGTGGCTGTGTGTATGACTATATGCGTGTTAGCATGTACTGTATAAGCGTGCCGCTGACTGCACATGTGTGTGACTGTGTCTTTAGTGGCATCGGGAGGAGGACGATGAGGAAGGAGACACTGCTGAGAGGAGTAAAAATCACAAAACAGGACAGACTCGAAACTCCCCTTACACTCCCTCTCCTCAACAATAACATTGTCAATACTGATAATAGTTTAAATTAAATTGAAAAACATTGTTATTATTATGATTCTGATTCTGATTATTATTGTTATTATTATTGTTGCTCCTGCATGAATGTACATTGCCCAAGTTTTATTTTAAAGGGTTTTACTTTTATGGGAGATCTTTTGTTCAGATGGGCTCGGCCTTGCAGCGGACTACTATTTTAATGACGGCTTCTCTGAGATCCTGGCCTGCAAAGTTCCCTCTTCTGTGTGGCATGAAACATGTACCCGACTGTAAACATTTATTTCATCCATAAACAGAAATGTGTAACGAGGTGGTGGGGCTCAACTTGCACAGTAGTTTTGCACCTATCGGAAAAGAGGAACGCAAAATAATAATGATGATGAGAGCATTTATGGTATATAATCTATAAATATAAATACATATAAATATATTTAGAGAGAGTTTATCTTTGTTTGTCGGCATGTTGCCTTGTTCCTGCTTCAATGGCTCAAAATACTTTGACTTATTTATGTCTTAAAGAGAATGTAATTTGTTTACAACCTCGTAGAGATAAACTTCCTGGTTTCTAGAAGGAAAGAGGCAAAACTGAAGCTCAGAAGGACCGGAGCTGCGTTGGTGTGTTATTACTGAAAAAAACGTGCTGGAATTTGCCTGCTATCTTTTCAAATATTGTAGATATTTTTAGAGGATTAACAAACAAAAAGAAACCAAAATATAATGGGATACGTAGTAAATGTGGAATCTTAGTATTACTCTTTATGATTGTTGGGATCAAGTTGGAGTGGCTTGCCTTTTCTAAACGGAGGCCTCCTTTTTGTGACAGAGGGGGAATATTTAATTATTTTTATCACTTCTCTTTTTTTATGAGTTTTTTTGTTTTTGTTTTTGTGCTTCAGCGCTGGCCTGGGGTCAGGGCTCGAGTCAAAGGCTGATATCAGGACCTTTACAGTGAACTTTCTTCCAGATAAACCTGCTTGTTCAAAGGACTTGATGTTTAAAAAATGTGTGTGACCACCAAAAAGGCTGCATTCAAGTCACATTAGACATCTACAGATTTATATTTGTCTTATCTGTGCAGCATGGAAATCAGACCTTTTTTTTTGTTTTTGTTAAAATTTTGAAAGATATTGTGTTGTTTATTTTTTTAAATTTAATTTGAATTCATTATTTGTTAAAAGGATTTCAGTTTCCTCTAGCAGAGTGACACACGCAGCCCCACAACACTGTTGGCATTTTTAACATCAAAAAAAGGAAAACTGACACAAAAAAAAATGACAAATTACAACAAACATGGAATGTTGCTTTGACTCTTTTTCTATATATAAAAAAGACGATCCTTTTCTGCACTATCTGGTTATGAATGAAAACTTCTGTGGTGTAATTCTAGATGTGCTTTTGTGTGTTTTAACCAAGCTTGTCCTGCCGTCACAGAATATACAGTACTCTAGCATCTCAACTGTACTCACTAGTCGTGAACTATTTATTGTGCTTTGACCAATCAGACATTACCAGAGATAAGTTACATACAGAAGGCACATTTAAGCAGTCTTATTGCACTCAGAAGGACAAGGCCACTTAACTAGTCTGTACTATTGTTATTTCTATTACTAACCGAAGTCATTGGCAAGCATGACGTGAGAGGCTCATTATGCAACTTGAAAAAATTAACGATTTTTCTACTTAAAAAATCCTATACACTACTTCAGTATATTCAACATTTATCCGAGCTGTTTTTTTTTCTTTTTTCTATCCTCCTCCTCTGTCATTTCCCAGTCGATCCGTCCATCTGGAAAGGGTGCACAAGCTTTACCAGTCAGCTCAGGCGTGTTGAAAAAGTAATATGGACCATTTGAATAATATCTGTCTTATTTAAGTTGGAAAAAAAACTGTCTGGATTCTGATATTCTGCTTAGAAGCTGTTGATTTATTTTGTTTCCCTTTCCAGTGTTTTAACTTGACAATTTATTTGTTTATTTGTCTGTAAAAAATTAAAAACAATAAACAAAAAACATAACAACAGCATTTTCAATAAAAAAAAAAAAAAAAAGACTTAAGCCAACATTTTCCAACCACTTTTACATCCAGAAGGACATTCAGCTTTAAGAGAATGCAAACACGAGTTTAAAAATAATCTTTGTAAATACAGCAATGAGTCCACTGAGGACAGAAACTCCATGCGGACTGGTGTGAAAATCCATCATACCCCACGAGTCATACTGCCGATGCAGCTGTCTGGCTGTATGTAATCAATCACTGCTCCTGTCAGAAACACTTTAAAACAACATGATTACATCCAAATAAATACTTGTGTTGTAACGACCAATGATTATGTTAATGATGACCCCGAAGATAATGATGATGATGATGATATCAATGATACTTCTTGCAATATACTCTCACCTGCCTCGATGTACTGTATTTAGCAGCATGCAGTTTGTGGAACAAAGAAAAAGAGAAATGCCAACAGATAACTTTTTGGCATACTTAGCCATTTATGGGTAAGTGATCTAAGTGTTCATCTTGTTTTTATGATATTTTTTTTATCTATACAATAATTGTAAATAAAGAACTCAATGTCTTTGTTCATTTAATACTATGCAAAAAGTCATGCTTTTCTGATTGTTACCCACCCTTAATCCTAGAGTGTGTTGCTGGAATATTTGTGGTCTCAAAAGTCAGTAAAAAAACAATGTGATGTAAATTATTTTTTAGCTTGAGAGAAGTAAAATGATGATGAAATTATTATTATGATACCATGAGGGGGATGATAATAATGGTGGTGACAGTGATGATGATGATGATAATGATGATGATGATGAACTGTGACTCTTGCTGCTTGACTGTCCCATTTACAACACTCCTGACAGGAGCGCAAGTGAAAAACTAAATAAAAACCAACCAAAAAAATATTGAAAAACCCTAAATAAATCTCCCAGAGCAGCATGACCCAGCATGGTGTGTCCTGGCCCCGTGTGACATGTCCTGTTCTGATTCGTTGTGCTTCACCTTTCAGTGTCAACTTTGATTGTTTTTCCATTTTCATTGTTTTGTTTGAAAAGGTTCTGCTTATAGAATGTGGGGGTTTCAGTGTGGTCTAAAGGAGCTCTTGTTGTAATGCACCGTAAACCATTGGGTCCCAACCTTTTTACCTCATTACCCTTTCAAGCGAGGAAATATTAGGGCATCCTGATGTCCAAGGGGTTTAAGGCGATGACCATGTACAGTATTTCTTGCAACATCGCTGGTTTCCTTTTGTCTCATATCATTACCATCTTTCTAACCCTTTCCTCTCAGTTTATACCATCTCCTCTCCGATACAGGCATAAAATGTTTTTGAAAAAGTGATCCAGCAAAGTGTGAATCTGAGATTGTTACAGTAGAGGCCTGATGATGTATCACTATCCCTTATTTCATAAGAAATCAACAGCCATGTGGACGGTTCAGTGAGTCTGTACTTAGGCACTGTGGTGCTTTGAGCTAACTGCAATGACGACGCAAACCTGCTCATGTTTAGTTGGTAAACATTTTTACAATGTTCTTCTTAGTACAGTATATTAGCATGCTAACATTTACTAATTAGCACTAAATATACTCGACATAAACCAAAGTGTTGAAGAAATTGAAATTTTTGATATGAAGGTGGTATTAGATTGACAGTCAGGGGATCATCATTGTCTTTAGGATTTACCCTCTGGGGACCCAGCCCGCCCTCAGGGCGTCAAATACAGACGCACAAGGCCCTTTTTAATGTCTGTATGAGACGCACTGGGCTTTCAAGTAACTACAGTGTAAATCAATTTGCATTATTAACAGACATAGAGAATGCTCTGGGAATGTGATGACATAATGACTGAAACAAAATACCATACAGGGTATCTTGAAGTTCTGTTGGTGATGTCTGTGAAGTCTTTTCTGCACTTGTGATACGTTGTTTACGTTTTACTTGGGTTTCATATTTTTTAACCATGATGTTTTTTCTAAACCTAACTAAGTGGTTTTTGTTGCCTAAACCTTAGCGAGTGTTTTTGTTTGAATTCAGAGTGATAACCGTGTTTTTACTGCGATGTGGCGTGTCATAGTTTGACGCACTATTAGAAATGGACGTCTGAAGAGCATTACAGCACGACTTAGTCTTCTTTCCATTTTTAACTAAATTGATAGTATCATTTCGCTTGTAGACTCTGAGACTCCTCAAGCCCAAGCTGTTTGCCTATGAGGGAGAGATGGATGGATGGCAACCATGTCCCAACCCAACATTCCTCTTGCATTTGCAAACAGTTGAGTCCTTGAAGACATGATTAATATCTAGGTGAAAGATGGAGCTTGTTGTATAATAGAAAGGTCATAGAAGGACTATGACCACTTGAGGGCAGTATTTCACTAGAGATAACTGAAGACGCCATTAGGTCGTCCCTCATCATCCGTGTGGTAATCCCTGTAAAGTGTCTCTTGAGCATCAATGCTCTTATAAGTGAGTGGTGCAAAGGAATCCGTTGCATCATTTCAGTCTCCAGAACTTAATTAGGTTGAACATCACTGTTGTTCACGACAAGTAGAGGGAAGACTTAATAAAAAGAAAAGTGTCACTGTGCTCATCAGTGTTTATCTGAGGTTATGAGGACTTTGGACAAGTTTGAAACTGAATTTGAAGAACTTAATGGGAAATTTGTCTTGAAGTTTTGTGTCACTTTAGTCTGAAAAAACAACTGAATGTAATAATAGTCAAGTTAAACGCCTTTCATACCATTTGAAATGATAAAACCTGCATTCATTGTTTTTTTCATCACTTGGGGCAACAAGCAATAAACTCAACATCAACATATGATCACCTTCTAAAGTTGACATGGTGAATGTGTTAACAAGCAGCTGCTTATTCATTAGCAGTTAATTGAAATGAATACATAGATACATGTAAAGTCCTCTTCACCTACTCCTCACCAGCTTGTTGCTGGAAGGGTCATGTACAGTGAGTCTATCAGAGCCTTTCTGCTCAACTACAGAGGCCTGCTGCAGCTGAAAACAGCATAGATGAGAGTAGTGTGAGTGAACCAAACTTCAAAGTTGAAAACCAATACAAGGAGACGTTAAAATGCTCCATTGAGCTTAGGGGAACTGCCAATCGGCTAATCATTTTGTACTGTACATGTGAAAAATCTCGGTGGCACTTGCCATAATTACAATGCAGGCTATTTATTTGCATTAGTCCAAAATAAGATGTGGATAATTAACCGCCACACGCTGAGCAGAAATAGATCCAGGCTCACAACATAATGCATGAGGTGGAGGAAACAGGGTCAGTGTGGACATAATGAATGGTTTGTATGCAGGTCGATAGATGTCAATGACTATCACTCTTCACTTGACTGACCCTCATCACCAAAGTATAAATTGAACCTGTGTGTGTGTGTGCGTGTATTTGTATGTGTTACTTTTCTGTGGTTAATTATTTTGATGACACAAGTTGTTGTTTGCAGATGTTGTACATCGCTGTCAGCAAACAGAAAATGTATTAAATGATGTACGTATGTATCTGCTCTAACTGCAGCAAGTTACCGTACCCAGCGAGCAAACTGGTTACAGTGGTAACTTAACTCAGTGGTCCTTCAAAGGCCACGGAGCATATCCTGACCTTACTACATTTTGTGAGTTATAAAAGGTTTTCACAATATTCCCAATAGCATATCTACTGAGTAGTATGTCCCCACTGTGCCAAATTTAGGAGGAAGTAAGCGCCAGAAAAACTTACATAATTTTTCCTATCTATCCGTGCAGATGGTTTTATTATCACTGCCAGAAGAATCAGGCGAAGACACATCCAGTGAATGTATCCGTGCAGCTCTATGAGTGGTAGCTCTGTGTTTTTCCACGGCTAATCTCCCATTCTGCTGCAACAAACTCCTCTGCTTGAGGAATTTCATTTTTTTGGGGGGAAAAATGATGAATGAAGTGTGCTTTACGACCTTATACGACATTGGTGTCGGATGGGTTAGCCTTTTGTGAGTCGTATTCATTCAATCACACAAAACGGCAGCGATCGTTGCAGAGACACCTGATGGAGATCTGCACTCCACTGCATCAGCAGCATCTTTCCAGAACCCTTGTCCCTCTCTCAGACCTCAACACTTTTCACTAGAACTACTTTCTACGTCAAGATTCTTTACAAAACGTGTTTACACCATGTTCGGAAAAAGTATCCACAGTAACAGGATATTTGGAGCAGATTCCTCTTAAATATTTTGAATACTGAGAGAAGGTGGACATCTTAAAGGCAGATATTTAAAGATATGGGCAAATGAAAACAAAACTATCCATATGGCTTGATAACACTTGACATAAGTGAGAATATATTTAGATTTTGCTTTATTTTACAGGTCCGTTGTTTATTAATTACTTCTTAGGGAGCTTCTTTGAAAGAGCTTTTTAATCTGGTTGAACATTTGAAAGAAAAAGCTCCCGTTGACCCAAGGCAATGCTCATTAATTCATCAACAATCATTATCATCATCATTAACAGCATCATCATCATCTATTATTGGAAGCTTTAGTTTATATATATATATGTAAGTACTATGCAAATATCAAGCATTTGCTGTCCAGTGACTGAAAGACTCTTTTTGTTAGTAGTCATTTTGTTTAATTTATTAGGAAATGTACTCATTGTACATGGTCTCCATTTCTCTACAATTTAAACAAAGTAAAATAGTTATGTTTGCCTACCTTATAGATCATTATTATGAAATTGCAGAAAAACATAAAATAAAGCGTCACCATGTGTAATTTGGATGACCTGCCCACTTACGTAAGAGGTGTTGAAGCAGACATACCTACAAATATCGTTTAGTGAAATTCTGTTGCAGGTCTTGCAAGAGGTACTATACGTGTAAGATGTATACTGTCTCAAACATTTGCTGTGAGAAGAAGAATCAGAGAGAACAATCAAAAACAGAGATTTCAGTGCATTAGCATTAACCCTGTGTTAGCTTTAGCATTAGCGTGGTAGTGTGTAATAGCATCAGCATGCACGGGCTGTGCCTGCTGGGGTGGCACAGCCCGTGAATTTAGAGTGGGCTCCCACAGCTCGGAAGATTAGCGCCCGAGTGCATTCAAGTCCATGTGCGAGGGCTGATTTCCAGGAAGAATAGCCCTTTATTGGGCCCCAAGTTGAATCCTGCTGCTTCCCTTTTGCCCAATAGAAAGCTGCAGTAACTGACAGTCCTTTACAATCAGCCAACACTGGTGGAGGTTTTGGGTCTCTCCTTCTTTTTTTCCACTGTTTTTCTCCAAAAGGATTGATTTTGAAATTACTCTCTCTGCCCAGCGTGTGTATGGGTTGGGATATTTGTGTGCATTCGTCCGTAAATGTTTGTGTGTGTTTGCGCGCAACACCGATACACAAACATAGACGCATACAGAGAGAGACGCATACAGAGAGAGAAAGACACGCACACATGCACATGTTTGAATGCCAGTCTTGGCAATTGTCTTAATAGGATAAGGGGAGACTATGGTTCCTGTTGGGGGGGATGGGACTGTGGGAATGACGTTAAAACACACGTTGCATTCATGGCACTAACAGCTACGTTGTTGGTTGATTCAAAGCAAAGGATATATGTGGTGACTTGTTATCTCCCAGATTCACCTCAGGGCTTTAATTACTCTGCACACTCGCCAAAAAAAGATATGACACCTTCGGGCAGGAATTTAACTTTTTTTGCAAAACAAAAACACAACCATAGTCACAAAAGGTAATGACTCATGTGCTCAGAGTGCATTCATAGTTTTGAACTTTTATATCTTTTTGTTGATGTTGGTTATTTCACACAGTGCAAAACTACGGGTCATTTAAGAATGAAAGAAGTGACATTGTAGATAACTGAAGGGGTTTGTGGGGGTGTTGCAATGAAGAGTTCTGACCATTAGGGGTCATCTGTGGCATAAGATTCATGAGGGCCTTCATGATAACAAGCCTGCTAGTATCTCAGTTTTCCCAACCTTTTTGGCTCATAAGCCATTTCAACAAATCAGTACTTGTAGCCTCTTGCACAAGCTATATTACTGTGCACATTGATTATGAGCCGTTCTACCAGAGGGATTTTGTTTTTACATTGACTTTCTTAAAGGACTTTAAGGGGCCAGAAGAGAGGAAACTATTCAGTGTTACACAAAAGAATTAGAAAAATAAATGTATACGACATTACACTAGTACATTTTTTTTTTCTCTTTTACCTTTAATTATATTGTGACTCCCTTCAGATCTATCTTGGTACCCCTTGGGGTCTCGAAGACCATCATTGATTATAGACAGACGTTACAGTCTCTAAACTGTCTGAGAAGTTCGAGGGAGGGCAGAGACTTTGTAGTGGGTTGGTGGTTTTGCCTGTCCTGGCTCTCTGTCCTTCTCTCCAGCCCCTGCTCACTCCCAGACCTGCCAGTCCTGGTCACATGACATCCCCTCCCACCTACACACCTGTTCCCACTTTCCTCATCAGACCTGTAGTTTCTAGAAAACACACCGAAAAGATTTTACTCTACTATATTTTTGGAGTTTTACGATAAATAATTGTTCTTTGTATACAAGAAACATTTCACCAACAAATACCACACTTATGATTGCAAATTAGTTTGAAATAACATGACATACATCACAAAAAACATAATAATAGGAGAACTGAAGCCACCGGGAGATAATTGACACACTTATACAGGGAGACACAGGTTGTTAAATCAGGAGAAACTTAATTTACAGTGAACAAATACATTTATTAAATTGTGCAAAGTAAAGTAAACATTTTGGAGAGTCGACACTGGTGGAG